ACATACATTAATATTGCTCTCTCAAGCTGTCCTAATGTTTTTAAATGTTGGAGGTGGGAGTGTTGTGCATTTTAATGAACCTAGATTAAACTTCACTCTCAGACTTGGTCTCTTTGTGCCATAGATGGGGATCAGAAAAAGCAAATACTAGACAGAAGCAGTGATTCACAGAATCAAGGATTGGTTGAGGTTGGAAGGGACCTCTGGAAGTCATCTAGTCCAATCTCCTGCTCCAGCAGGGACACCTACAGAAGGTTGCCCAGGACCATGTCCAGACAGCTTTCAAGATCTCTGTGGAGGGAGAGTTCACGTGTCTGGGCAACCTGTGCCTTTGCCCCACCAGTGAGTATGCTGGGGATGGGCAAGAAACTGGGAGGGAACACAATCAGGCCAGCTGACCCCAACTGATTGTTCCATACTGTACAACATTGTGCTCAGCAATAAAAGCTTGGGGGAAAGAAGCAGGAGGGGAGACATTTGGAGTTATGGCATTTATCTTCCCCGCTGTTACGTATGATGCTCTGCTTTCATAGGCATAGCTGAACACCTGCCTGCTGATGGGAAGTAGTGAATGAATTCCTTGTATTGCTTTATTTGTGTGCACAGTTTTTGCTCTCCCTAGTAAACTATTTTAGCCTATGAGTTCTCTCCTTTTACTCTCCAGATTGTCTTCCCCATCCCACTGGTGAGGAGCAACTGAGTGGCTATGTGATCAAGTGGTGCTTAGCTGCTTACTGGCATTAACACACAAAACAAGACATTACAGAAAAGATGAGGTTAAAATACTTCTAATATCAAAAATTACTATGTGATAATGAAAATAAAAAAAAAAAAAACTACAATTGTATGCATTAACAAAAGTGTGAATAGTAAATATACATGTATTAGCAAAAGAGAGTTCATGCAGCAAACACGTTAAGTATCTAATCCCCAAAATTGTTAAGACAAATTCTTCCTCTTCTTCACTTAAATTCAATGCTTATGTGTTTACCAGTACTTTCCCAAGATTTATTTTTCTTTTCCTTCGTTCAGTGAACATCGAGTAACATTTAACTAAACATTTACAATTCTCACCTGGAAAGCTAACTAATAGCAACACTTGCAATTTATTACTATATGAGTTTTTCTTCCGAAATATATCAAAATTACAATTTGGTTCCTAGTTTAAAATATATATATCTAATTATTCGTGAAAAAAAAGTCTCAAAAATGAGAAAACAGCTAATCTACTTATAAAGTAACATTGAGTGATGACTTTTAGAGGAAGAAAAACTTGCAGTTTTACACTGTTACTAAAATGTCAAAGGAACACTATATATGGTTACCTGTAAGGCCTGAGTAAATTATAGTCAATCAAAGAAAACAGCAGCCTGAGTAAATGCAATATAAATCCTTAGAATACCATAAAATAAGAAATTAGTGAAGTGCACTAAATTACAAAATATTTCTCATCTGGAATACTAATAGAAAAGTAGGAAAGTCATTACATTTAAAAGAAGAGACAGCTTTAATTATATGAATCTTCAGAAACTGTCATATCAGTAAGCTCATTAGCCACAATGAAAGTTCCTCCTGCTGATCTAAAAGTACTTAAAAAACAGGATTTGTTATACTTCAAAGCAAAAAGGTATCTTTAATTCATGTACTGTACCAGTGAATTAAGCCTACTTCTAGTATTACAAAAGTAAAAACTGTAACTTTAGCATGTAATGGGAAAAGAAGGGCAAATTAAATACCCTGAAGTAAACTACAATTGCACAGGTAAAATAAATGTTCTTTGCTGCTTCCCTGTCAAAACTGAATTAAAAAAATTGAAATATATTTTTCCAAAGGAGTAATTAATTTACATATTTTGAATGTTTTCCAATTTATAGCGTACCATAAACCACATGTTGGCTTCACAACCTTCTCACTGCTTTTAAAGTCTTGCAAGTGATGTTAACAGTTTAATGTACAACATTAATGTACATCACTGTTTAAAGAAATGGAATGAGCAAAAATTTATCTTGTAAAAAGGATAAAAAAAATAAATTGCTAAACATTTCAATGTTCTAATGTTCACATCAGAAATAACTTGACAGAGAAGTTCTAAGAATGAGCTTATATCTTCTATGAAATATGAAAAGATATAAGGTAGGCTACAAATGGGCTGTCTGATAAAAAGACAGTTGTGTCATTAAAGAATTCTAAAAGGGAGAAATTTGTAGAAGACTGTCAACAACGACACGATGGTGGGAGAAACTGAAGATCAAACCTAAAAACAATAAATAAGCAACATGCGTAGTATAATTCCATTTTTATATAGCGTGTTCAACTTAAAATTAAGGTGCAAGTGCCATTTGAGCAACATTAACAGAAAACCTTTATTATAATTTAAAGGACACTAGCAAATAATAGCTTTATCCCGCCTATAAAATGTGAAATCAATGTATTTATGGAAATAAATATACAGAGAGGAAATAAAAACAGGTCACAAAAAAAAATGCTTGCAACAAAGAAAAATATATGAAAAAATATTCTTATGAAATTTCACTAATTTATTCTTGGGAATCAGTTTTAAAAATTACTCCAGGGCACAAAGTTCAGTAAAACCTTGAAGAGAAGGGCATTCCACCACCTCCACAAGACACTAACCATTGCTAGGACAAATGGCAGAGAACAAGATTTAGAGAACAACACTGAAAGAAAATATGGACAAAATGGTTCACAAAAAAAAAAAAAGATCATTATATGAACTAAGCCCAGCAAATCATGATGCATTTTTTCACCCAACAGGTTTCACTAACAAAGCAGCATATATGTAAACATAAAAGTCCTAGCAGATGACAGAATAAAAGCCAGGCAGGCTTCTTTCCTTCAGCACTGTCAGCAACCTATAAACCTTAAATGTAACCTTTGGATCCAGCAGTTCTTCAAACTTACTGGAAGTCTAAACTGCAGCCACAATATACAACTCAGGAAGGATTATTCTTGTTAAGTGCCAACTACTGTTCCCTGGCATGGAAGAGTAACTATAAGCCCTATATTCAAATTTTACTCTAATATAACCATAATTTCTTCTGTAAAAAGTGTATTTGGCTAAATGATCATGAAGATAAATGATTTTGGTGACTTCTCCTCTATTGCTCTCCCTAGCAGCCATAATGACTCTTTGTAATATCCACTGTGTTTTCTGGCTCACTGTAGAAGCCACAAGGTGAATTATTCACCATTATTCTTGGCCAACTTGTTAGTCTTCATCAGCCTGTCCATAGGTTACATCAAACCAGGTGTGCCCATTATGTCAGAACCAAAGACTTTTTTTTTTTTTTAACTGACCTGTTGGTAAGCTCAAGAAGAAATAAGAACTTCATTAAAAATTTACTGTACAAATCTAAGTGCATATTAAATCAACTTGCTTGATAAAAATATACTTCTGTAAAAGCACTAAAAGGTTTTAAAATTACATGAACCATATGTAGTCTTTGGGATCTGCTGGATTTTCCAAAAAGGTAGTGCTGAAGGAGTCTTCAAGAGAGAATGGACTTTTACAGGTAGGGAACCCAGCATATAGCAAGACTGTCATACAGTGAAACTGAAATGCAAAATATGTCTCATATAATACACTGAAGTAAACTCAATGTATAAACTTGAAAACAAGGTCATTGATTTTCATCCTACAACATACTCAGTGAGATCAAAGATTCATCAAATCAATATCAGATAGCTAAAAAAAGAACAGAAAACCTGGACTAACTGGTGATTTTACTGACTGGACTTTGAATGGTCAGTGTTTATATCTCAGAAGCTTTACAAAAGACAGTCAACAGCTTCATAGAGGATGGTTGTCTATACTGAAATAATGGCTAGTAATATGGACCATTTTAGTTATTCTGGCTGATATAATAAATTCAAGCACAATAAAGCCAATAATATATGATTAAGGAAAAATCAGTTGCCAGTTAACAGCAGGTTCTATGAAAATAACACATAATAAATATATATAAAGAAGGAAATAAAGAAGGAAATCCTATTTTCAGTGCAAACAGTTAGATGAGGGACTTAAAGCATTTGACAGATATTTAAACATACTTGAACTTCTAAATGGTTATAATCCACTAACCATAATTGGAAACTTTAGGAACCATGATAACAGAAAGCAAACGCAGTGTGAGTGACCACTATCTCGAGTTCTCTCTATCCGGAACAGTTTTTGGAAATCTGCAGCCTAAATCTGGAAGGCTGAATGAGGCACAAGAGCAATAGTGTACAGCGCAATACAGATAAACAGCAATATTCTCTAAACTGACATAAACTAGAAAATGATTAACTGAGACAGCCCATCCAATCTTCTTTCTGCAAAAGTATGACAGTGCTGGGGTGGTGTCAGTTTCTAACTCCATGCTTAGTCAGTTTAAATTACTTAGTCTGTGACATAATATGCAGAAGGATCTCTTAATTACTAAATTAAATGTAAAAAATCTGCTGCTGCTTATACTGAGATTCACTACACTCTACACTGCATGATGAAGCGGTAAAAAAGCAAGTCATTTTACAGACTTCCAACGCTACTGTTGCATGAGAAATATACATACAGGGAAGACAAAAGTGTTCAGATTCACAATTAGAAAAGATTGAATGACGGTATGATAGACTTTCAGAGTTTCTGAACTACAAGACACTCAGTAATAATGCTGTATAAAAGACTGAAAGATGAATATAGTTTAAGATCTTTTAATAGAAAAAGACTTTTAAAAGAAATCTGTTTTGGACAATAAGTCTCAAAGATACGTTAGAAGAAATGTAATGGAAAATCCTGTAGTTAATGAGAGGACTGAATTATACATATTATGTTAAACAACACTTGCAGCAGCTCAAAATTTTGATCTATGACTTGAAGACTATTAATGTGCACTTAAAAATGTTAGCATAAAACAAACATATTAAAAACACACTGCAATGCACTCAGAATCAAAATTTTAAATTACTTATACAAACCTTTACAGGTTAGTTATACGAACCTTTACTAGCTTTATCTAAATGTTGAAAATCCTCAGTAAAATTCAGAACATCCTGATAGCTTTCTTCACACACTTCTACAAGAAAATGGAGCAATGTTGTTTTTTGATCTGCTGACTTCGTATCTTTCAGCTAGACAGGAAAAAAAAAAAAGTTAAAATGCTGAGAATTAGATTACCTCAATATTTTGATAATTAATACATATTACTAATTGTGAATACAAAAAAGATAAGAATAAACTGTTGAACTTGAACAGCTCCCAAAGAAAACCCTAAGTAATGGATTTTTTTATTTCCACCCTTGCCAAAAATTCCTAGGAAAAAATATATTAAATATTTTCCTCTATATACAATATTCGAGTTCTGTACTCGGAAACAGTAAACACTTCTCTTTTAAAATATAATTATTTAAGCAATATAGCAATGTTTGTGAAACTGAAAAGACTTACAGAAGTGCAAACAAACAAAAATTCAGAACTAAATCAGCAAATTCTAACAATGAATGATGAACACACCCACTCCATTACATGATTTCTTATATATGAGGCTAACCCTACCCTACTATGATGTATGTGGTGAAAACTACAGTTTCAGCCTTCACCAAGTTCTAGTTGTTCTCAACTCTCAACAAGGGCAAGTGAGTTCACAGACTTGACTGTTCAAAACCTCTGACTTCCAAAATTGTTAAACATTTAACTTCTCTGCCTGAATCATTTATACATACAAAATGATTTTAAGTCTGTCCATTTAAAACTTGCATCTATTTGTGTAAAAACACTAACTGACAATAAGCAAACATTCACTCATACATTTCTGCTGTAGCCATCTCTGCTTACGTGAGACTTTCAAATCCACAGAGAGATTTTTAGAAATAGAAAATTGCATTATATATCATTCTAAAATGGCATCTCATATCAAAGTGCATGTTACTTTTAAAAAATACTTCTGCACGAGCTATTCAACAAAAGAAGTACACGTACTTAAGCACATATGAAGTACACACACATCTTAAATGGTTGCCATAATTGCACACAGATTTGTACATCTGACTATCAGGGGAAAAAGTCTTTAACATAGTATTAGAACTAGCACAAAAAATGTAGAAAATCAACATTAGTTTGCTTCAACTTCAAGGTTGTTCCTTAGTTTAGTTACCATGAAAAACAAAAGTTATTAGCAAAGCATAGTGGCATAAGAGTAACTACAGCAACAAGGTTGAAAGAAAGAATGACCTTCCTTTCCAAAGAGAGTTCAAAACCAGACACAGAGCTATATGGGGATTACATCTGAATAAAGAACTGAAAGCAAGATCGATCTCAATTTAAATATACATACATATACATAATATTTGTATTACCACAGGTTTCCCAGGATTGTCAATTTTTTGTAAAGAGATTTTTTCCACACTTCTTGTGCTTCCCAATATACTCAGAGATCACTTAAAGTGCACTTGATTGATGTGATGTAAAAACCAGATAAGAGTATATTGTTTGCTTTTCCCATACTGTCAAATTAAAATGGAGAATTTTTGATGGTGCTTATCACTGAGGTTGACATTTCATACTTCTCTGTTAAAAGTCAGCATTTTATTTTCAAAGATCAAAATGATACTACCTTAATAAATCTGATGAGATATATGCATCCATAATGTTTACTTTTTCTTTCAGACAAATAGATTAATAATAATGTGAGACAATTTTCAAAATAAACAGAAAATGGAACACACAAAAAACAACAACAGCAAATATTCTAGGGTCATTGCTGTATGCAGTGTTATAAAATAAATTACTTCTACTGTACTGGGATTCTCAGTGATAAATATCTGAACTGTTGGAACATCACACAATTTTTACAATGTGACACTGTTTAAAACACACATAATTAGCAAAAGTTAGTTTTAAAAATAAACCACTGTTATAGACATGCATTTATTCTTAATTTAACAGTATTTAATAAGTTATTATTAGCACACCAATATTATAACTCTCTTCTGAGAATATGCAGCAAACCTATTATAATTATTCATGATATAGGGAGAAGGCAAGATAGGGGATTATCTTCTGCAAAGCAGATAGTTTATATAGCTCTCTATGCATAGCTGGAGAAGAGAATGAAGAACAGCAGATAAATCACCTATTCCACAAATATTACAGAAACCAATAGCTTTGAAGGACAGAAGTGACTGTGAATTTCTCAAGTTCTGTGAACCCCTACTGAAAACTGCATTGCAGTCTACCAAGCAGCCTGCAATTTGCAGATTTCTAGTTTTTGGGCCAGGGAGTATAGGTTTGGGTGGGATCCTCTTTGAGGTTTTAATAATATGTATATATATATATATGTGTATATATATATCTAGATATATTTTAACAGTTGAACCAGTTTATTATTCTCAGAACAGAGGAGATTATGTGTTAACCAAGACACAACACATAATTCAGAAAAATCCAAAAAATTTCACATACATTCTTTTACCTCTGTATTTCCAGACAAAGTGATCTAAGACACAGTTTCATAACCAGTGAAGGCTTGGCACTCACGGACTTCCTAAATGAGGCCACAATTGGATGAGGTGAATTAGGAATTGGTGACTAGAACCCTGATAAACATTAGAATGGATAGTCCAGGGTTAACTCTAAAACCCAGCTGTTCAACAGTGAGGCTAACTAAATAGGCACAATGAAGCAAGCAAGACAAATTGTGATAGAAATTGGATCTTGAATTCTTTATCAAATGTGCTGATATTTTGGAATATCACCATGTATCATGAAGGAAGAAAACTCTTGCTGATGAGCTGAACATAGTATTGTAGTATTTCAGGATTTGCCTTGGATGATGCTACAATATAGCATTCTCAGGTGATACTGGTAGTATTACTTCGCTGAAAGAGGTCAGATGGTAAATGCAGACTCACAATGATTCTCTTTCTGGGAATGTCACCTTTCAGAACAGCAAGTCTTTGACTATATCCAGTGGGAGAGATCCTGAAATCCTACAGATTATCTCTATAGTGGTCATAGTCCCTGCTCTGCCTGTGCCATCAGAACCTGTAATAGTTGGTCTTTCTTTATTAAGTCATCTTCAACTGTATTGACAAGGCACTACCCTCCAACGCTCCAAATAAGTTTTTAAACAGTGTGGTCTGGCATTTACAAACTAGTGATGTCAAATCAAATATATATGAAATCTTTGTCATTTGAACTTTACTTTTGTACTTACAGATTCCTTACATAAATGAAACATATTGAATACCATTATATATGCTTATGCATAATTAATGAAGTGCTGAAAGGCACAAAACAGACGTTTCTAATCATATGACATGATACAATAACAAGGTTCTGCTGTACTAAGCATTCTGATCATGAGGAGCAAATTACCTTTTTCTGTAATAGTTTAAAGCTTTCTATCAACATCACCCAGTATATAAATATATTATATAAACACTTAATGAGTATTTCTTCTGTGCAGGTTAGATGCCTACTGAGTCCCTTTCAACCTGAATTATTCGAAGATTCTAAGAAACCCACATGCAGTTACCAACTAGTTAACTAAATACTGTAATCAAATTATTATTTATTTCAGCTTTTAATTTGGCCTCATAGGGATTCGTTGAGAATCACTAGTATACCTGGATTTCAAAAGCTTTCCAGAATCTCGTTCACTATCAACTTCTTAACCATCTTTGCAGCTACAAAGCTTTCTTAAATCTTTAACCAAGCTTCTTTTGCTACCAGCAAAGCCAATTATTCCATCACTACCTTAACTGCATAGAAACCAAATGTTCAGATGCCTTCTTTATGATAAATTAATAACAAAAGGACACTTGCGTCCTCCTCACAGTTACTTTCTTTTCTAAATTAAATATACCTACATTTGATTTTTTTCTACATTTAGTAGTATTACATGTTACTATCCCCTAGATTCTTGCTAGTCAGTCTATATGTTTTCTACAGTAATACAGTAAAGACTTCATCAAAATATATCTCTATCAAGAAATTTGTAGACAATTGACTTCTTTATAATACACAGAAGGTCCACTAAAACAGATTTTTCTCCCCTCCAACAGAATGTCATAGCCTCCTGTAAAGCTAAATAACCCAGAAGCTTGCAAATCTAACAAACTATGATATCCTAGTTTGTCAAATGTAGTTTATACTGGAGCACTGTAAGGATAAGCCAGGACCTAAAGCCCATTTTCTGGAATTCCGTATAGCCATTCATTCCTTACTTTCATTATCTGTGCACATCAGTTCGCTTTCCTATGTGGTAGTAGTTCAAACACAATTTTCATCTTCCACATCTTAAATTATTTCTCTGACATCATTTTTGAATCCTGATCTGCAAAGTGCTTGTAACAACTACCTTCATACTATTTTCATAAGTATATTTCTCTCTCTTCTTTTTTTTAAGTTATTATGTGCATTAAAAATACAGAGAATATAATTGGACCTAGGATAGATTCTCATAAAGATCATACCTAAGAAGTAAATGCACCTAATTGGAGAGAGAACCTTTAGTATCTACCTTTTAAATACATTTCTCAACAAATTGTACCTTTAACTCAATAATTTCATCTACGCTGTATTTCTCTAGGTGGTTGATGAATGCTTAAATGTTTACTTTAGACTAGGGAAGGAATATAACTTATTCTCTATGAATATTCAAGATACAGGTATTGCACCGAACACTTAAGAACCATAATGAAAGAATTCTGAAACATGGCAGAGTCAGGCTGATTAAAGAATGTGTTAGTTAACATAAAGGTATTGCATTTTCTCCATCATGTAGAAAGACAAAGAAGCTGAGAGAAGATAAAAAGTACATAATAGCTTCCAAATTATTTCATTTTTATGAAAATTATTACATACACTCTCTGTTCAGATTTTGCTGTGACCAGAGGGCACAGGGAAAGAAAGAAAAAAAAAAGTAAGTAGAAGGCAATTAGGCTTAGAATTGTTTGTAAATTAATACTCAGGGAAGTACAGATGTCTTCTTGCATATATGTTAAATTTTCACTTTTTCAACTTCTATATAAGAAACATAGGGAAAACACGGGGAACTGATGAAACTGAGCAACAACAAAAGGAAATCAGATAAGGAAAAAATTATGTAAAAGAAAACATAACTGTATCAAAAAATATATATATGACAGATTTAGAAGTGTTCAGACATGTAAGACTACAATGCTACCAAGATCACATTGATATGGTCCTTCCATAACCTTATTTATTTATTGCTTTATGATTATTATTTCCTCAGTATGGAATCTTCTAAAAGTTTAAATGCAATCCAGTCTCAAGATGAGTGTACACAGATAAACTGTATTGTTCAAATCATCAACTAAAGTTAAGAATTATGAAGAAAAAAAAAATGAAAACAAAGAATCAACTGTAGGGAAAACATCAAAACAAGGTATTTAAGTAGTGCAATAAAAACAAATGAAGTGAATGCAATACTCAACCTGGACATTTCAAAACTCACTTTACATAGGGAGCTGAGATTATATCCAAAGGTCTGTGCATTCCGAGAACCTGCATTCATGTAGTTTCCCATTAATAATACTAGTTCCAGCAGCTTGCTAAAGCTTTTACTCTTTTTTATCTCTTCACAGGCAGCACTGACAGCCATGATGTCAGGTTTGATGTTGTTCACCTGCTCTTCAAACTGGAGCTTAAAAAGAATAGCACTGAGCCGTGGCCGTAGTCTCTTCACGTTGCTCATCTGATTGAAAAGAAAATAGGAGATTTCCTTTAAAATTCATGCTACAGTTTGGCACTGTACAAATGCATACAATCTGAAATGATTTATTGGTGTGACAGGCTTGAAGAAGCAATATATCTGCTATAACTGATAGCAAATGAACGAATGAATGAGAGACACTTGGGTAAGCAACTGAAATCCCATCTTGTGGTTAATGTGAACTGCCCCCATCCTTTCCCAATAACTAGTATGTGTAAGCAATAAACGATAAAGTGTCATCATATATCACATCTGTCAACTCATATACCAAATCCTATAAAACTAATCCAAGTTTATGACCCAGTAGTTGCAAAGTAATAAAAGTAGTTCACAAATTCTGTATAACTCAGGATGTACCCAAACAAGGCAAATCTCATTTTCCGGTGCAAATATTTAAAAGCTGATTTCAATAACAGCTTACTCTAAACTTGCAGAAAAATAACAGTTTTGAAAAATCGAAGCTATAAAACACTAATAAAACATGCATTATTATGTGCCAGTATTCATATCCCACTATAGCCCTGGACCTTATACAGTTAATTAGGTAAAGCAGAAGAATGCTCCTAGGAAAACAGTAACTCCTGTAGATCATATGCAAAAGACTTGACTTTCTCTACGCTTTTCTGGTCAGGGATTTTCAACAGAAGTTTCAGTCTTCCCATATGACTTAGGTCCCTGAATTCCCACCCCAGATATACTATGAACGTTAGTTCCTACATCTAAACAAGACTGCAAATTGTATTATTTCTTTAAATCAAGGAACATGGAATGCATTCAGTAAATTAACTTCCTCCATCTCCCACACCTACAAAGTACTACTTATCCATCCAACTCTATCATAGAAATATTCACCCATTTTTTAGGTTTGGAATCACATATGATCCCAGAAGCTTTTTGTTTTCTGTTCATGTTCCTTTTCTCACCACCAGGCATTATTTGTTCCTTGCTTTTTCCTTCTTTCACAGCAGAAATATTGTTTTGATTCCCTGCTCTTTGGTTCTGCTTTGCATATGAGAAACGCTAGTCTCAAGATCCTCCATGACTATCTTCCCCCTTTTTTCCTACCCCTGTTTTCTCACCAATTTAATGAGTTCTGTAAGACCTTCTCAAGGCAAAGTTGTAGCCAGTTATGCCTTGACAAGTCCTGAAATCCTAAACTAGTACAGTATGTACTGTTTTGTTTTCTGAATAAAAAACATATGATGGTTACCAGCTATTAGTACTTCTCAAAGCAACAAAAGAAGCCATAACATTGGCACTTCTACAAAGGAATGGGTTTCATATAGAGTGGCCGTTAAAAACTTGCCTTTAAATTGGAAAAATCCCCCTCCAAACCACAGTAATATCTAAGGATTTATGGAACATTTTTCAACCCATACATAGTATACCAATGTGAAAATAGCTGTCAGTACAACATTCACAAGTTATTTGGTGCTGATCATCCCACAGTAGAGTCAGTGAAAAGCATAATGGATAATACTCTTTATCCATCTCAGTGTCAAGTCAAAACAAACACAAAGCTAAGCTATCCTAAGCTGATACTGAGGACTGCCTAATCCAATGAATGTGACATCGAAGCAAAAGAGACTGTAAATTACAGCCCATTCTATTGGTTTCTCTGTGACAGTAGTACTAAAAATCAGGTAGAGTTAGTATTTTATGCTACTAGAGCCATGCCTGCAATGCCTGTCTGGCAATGCAACCACCTGATCATGGTTCTATTGAAGTAAACATAAACATTTGCATTTTGGTTCAGATAAGAAATTTTGAAGTAAAATAAGGAATCTTTTCCAGTATCCACACTTCTGTTTACATCACAGAGCAAAGCACATGAACAGGGCATCTTTCAGATAAAACTAAACTGAAAAGCAGCTTCCAGAGCACACAGTATAGTCCAGCCAATACTGAGCTTTAGTTTACAGACCATCTCTGGCCTGGTGCTAGAGTAAAAAGATGAAAATATATATAGTCTGGATGTTAGCTCAGTATCAACTGTAGGCAGACACTGTGTACTTACCGTCAACTAAGTAGCATCCAATAGTGTGGTAAATTTATTACTGAACAATTATTAACCAAGGATAACAGGACTTGAAGTTAAACTGGAAATTTCAGAATGGAAAAGAGATGGAAATACCTAAACCCCAACTAAAATTAACGCAGTACTTTTACACCTTCACACATAATTTAGGAATAAATACCTAAAATCATGTTAAGGTACTGGAAGGTATGTGTCACAAAGTTATTCTCCCAGGCCAATCAGGAAAAATCAGTATTATCTCATTTATCTGAAACAATTTACTTACTAGTACAAAACAAGTGCAAAGCTACTTATCATACCTGAATTGTAATTTTTGTTTTCAGATCAAACAGGAGAAATTTGAGACTAGACTCAAAAAACATCAATCTGCTCTAAAATTATCCAGAATTTTAGTATTTTTCCCTACTCAGGATGCAGCAGAGATGACCATTAATATCAAACCAGAGGAACTAACAGAATAAAGTTGCAATGATTTTAAGTGGTACCAAATTAAAGGCACTAGAGAACAGCAGATGATGCATGATTTATTGACTCATGGCTTCTCAGACAGGCAGGTTCCTGAAACTGAAATAATCAGATACTTTACATCACAAAGATGTGTTGCACAAATGTGAACAAACACAGATGCATGAAACATGCAAAGTTTTCATCAGAATGAGGTTAATAGATCAAGTTCTGTACGTGTCTTAACGATGGAAGCAGAAATGCATAATAAATTTAAAAAAAAGAACAGAAACAGGCATATACCAGAAACACAACTGAAGTGCCATTTGGCTATTATTATTATCATTAACACTCTGAAATTCATAGTTCATGTACAATGCATGTCTTTGGTACTATTTGTTTACCTGTTTGCTAAGTCAATAATTAGGAAGGGAGGAGATGGGGAGTTCCTTTACCAGTCTACGGCTTTCTTTGTGAAATGTTGTCTACAGATGTATTCAAACAGTGAAATCCATACACCTTATCACAAAAGATGCTGAAAATTTAATTCCAGTAATGTTGAGAGGCTTACATTCATGCCCTGATTTTTTTTTTTATACTCAACATATAGTACCTAAATCTACTTATGTACCTATAGCAGAATTCTGAAACTCAGACAATAAAATAACTAAAGAGGGATGTTGAGGTAGAAAGTTAAAGGACAAGTGGACAACACGTAAGAGAACTCACTGTAGGGGTAATGAATTATTCAATTTTCAAGTAATAGTCTACAAGACTATTATCACTAAGCATTAGCCCAAATGGGAATTGACAGCTGATTTGAGCTACCTGGCTGTAGCTCCCTGAGTTCTTTATGCGACAGCAAAGAGAGGCTTTTCTCTCAATTACAGCATAATTCAAAAGGCACCTGCAACAGTGTGCCATCTGGTAAGCGTGTACCTTCACTGTCTGCTTTGTTGATGTCAAGTAAAGGAACATGTCTCAGAAGTCACACTGACATTACATTTTCATCACTGAATGTGATTTGTTCTTAACCCAAGCTTGTAGAGAAAAACACTGCAAGGGTTCCAGTTTCACAATATCATTTCCTTAAAGGATCAACAGTCCTGAAGTTGTCAGTGTATCTGAAAGCGTTCCCATTGAAAAAGTAAAATACCACGTACAGCCAGTATGACTAAAATGTAAGATGGAAGGATATCATCAATGGAAAACATAGTTGCCATCACTGTAGCACTGGTGAACTCTACAGAGCACACAGGTAAGAAGTGTGAATTTTTAACACTTTAGATTCAGGCACTCAAAGAGCAGAAAAATATATCAAGGAAGGAAAAACTGAGACCTTAAAAGGCCTATTATCCACTTTTTAGAGAAGAAAAAAAGAACACCCTGCTCAATTTGAAAAAGGTAGTCAACGTGTCTGGTACCTTTGTGAAGACAGAACATTCTGGAATAGACCAAACATTTTTTCAGCATATGGAAAGTTAACAACATAATGGAACAGCATTTTTGTTGAGACTTTTTTTATGGCTATGTGGAAATAGCACATCTTCCTTCAGCTTTGAGACACTTTTTTCCCAAATAAATATTACTTAGCAGCTTAAAATTACTTACAAGAAACCAGAAAATCTCCATATTTATGTGTTATGTGTACAAGCAACCATTTGAGTTGATGACTTTTCAGCCAATCTTGCATCGATAGATGGCACATCCTGCTGCTCCATTTCCCTAGCTTGAATTATAAACACCTTGAGTTTGCACCACTGTCTCAGTTGCTTCCAAACCCAATATTTTCTTAGAGGATATCCACAGCAGAAGAGAAAGGAGCATACTGTGTATGACACAGGGACAACACTTATCAATTACCTCCTAGCTACACATGGATGGCCTTCTCTTGCCTTGAGGATGACAGTGCACTGATGCACTGTGCAGAAAATGCCTGGTACTGTTTTTGATGGCATTACGTTCAAAAAAGTTGAACCAGCCTGCGGATCTCCGAAGAGAGGACCCTCCTTTTGAATGATCCAGAAGTTACCTGTCCTACAAAATAAAACCAAATCGCCAAATAGCACCAAATAGGGGCTATAACAGCTCTCGAAACAAGCTGACGTAACAGACTGCTATACACTGCAAGAGGCTTCCTGCTGAAATTCACAGATAGGTATGTTCCACTCTGAGAAGAAATTTTTTTTGTGTGTTTTTTTTGTGTGTGTGTGTGTTTTTTGTTTGTTTGCTTTTGTTTTTATTTGTTTTTTACCCTATCTGAAAATACAGTTAGCGCACATCCATTATCCACGTTAAAAAAGGGTTGTTGTTCAACCTGGACACACAAAGGTTTTTTTGTTTGCTTGTAGGCTGAGGCAGGTAGATGGAAACTATCAAACATGCAGATTTACTGACATCTTGATCAGACTGGGACAAAGACAGCTTTTGTTTCTCAGAGTTAAGACAACACTATTTTCCTAAAAATGTATCATCTAAGAATAAAAGGGTCTAAATCTCC